CCTGTGGCGGCATTCGCACCGAGGGCCACGGCAGCGCCGCGCGCCGCTGGCCACCCTCCTTGCGGTGGTCCACCATCTCCTCGTCTGGTATCGCATGGACGGCGCCAAGGCCATCCCCGCCGCTGCTGCGGGCGCGCTCTGCTGCGCCTTCTGAAGAGGCTGCAGCGGCGCCTCCGCGGCGGTTCGCATCCGCAACCGATCCCGGGTCGCCAGCCTGCGCGCCAGTGCCACCAGCGCCGCCTCCGCTGGCCCGGCCCCCCCGGCCTCGCGGCTCTGCGTGAGCGCCTGCCGCGGCTGGTCACATGCGCGCCCACCCTCTGGACGCTGGTCGCCCGACAGCCCCCCTCAGGCCGCCCGGCAATTTGAGCCGAAATGGCTACGGAGGGGCGAGGGGTGATGATGCTGATGACGAGGAGGAGGAGGAGGAGGAGGAGGAGGAGGAGGAGAAGGAGGAGGAGGAGGAGGACCAGTGTAAACCCAAGATTCATCAACGATGTTGGAATACATCCTCCCTCCAAGCTCCCTTTTCACAGGTCCCTGCAAGGCTTCATTTCCATTGGGGGAAGTGTCCCGTTGGCGGACATCCTGTGAAAGTCCCGAAGCGTGCCAAAACACCATTTTCGATACTCCAACGCCACGAGTCAACCTGACTGTTGCGTCTTGACGATCCTGAATCGTACCATAATGCCGTTTTTGATATTTGAATGTTGTGAGCTCGCGTAAATTTTGCGCCCTGACAATCCACAATCGTTCCATACTGCCATTTCTGGCACGTTACGCAACCATGACAATCCGTGAAGCTTCTGCAAAGGTTTTAAACGAATGTGCGCGGCGCTCAGGCGAAAACCACAATTCGAAAATAAGCCGCCCTCAACCTGTGTAACTCTTGTACACTTTTCAAAACGAATGTGTGCGGCGCCAAGGCGAGAGCCACATTTTGAAAAGGAGCCGCCGTCACTCCGTGAAGCTCTTGCATATGTAAAAAAACAAATTTGCGCGGCGTTCAGGCGAGAGCCACTTTTTGAACATTAAAAGGGGCCGCCCTGAATCCGTAAAGCGTTTGCACTGTTTAAGACGAATGTGCGCGGCGCTAAGGCGAGAGCCACATTTTTAAAGCGAGCCGCCCTCAATCCGTGACGCTCTTGCAATTTTTTCAACGGGTGTGCGCGGTGCTCAGGCGAGAATCACATTTTGAGAACGACCCGCCCTCAATGTGTTAAGGCGTTGTACATTTTCAAAACGATTGTGCGCGGCGCTCAGGCGAGAATCACATTTTGAAAAGGAGCCGCTATCCATGTGTGAAGCTCTTGCAGATGTTTAAAGCGAATGTGCGCGGTGCTAAGGCGAGGGCCGCATTGTGGAAGCGACCCACCCTCAATGTGCGAACTTGTTGTCAGCTTTTGAGCTGAAGGCTCATACGTTGTCATTGCGCCTTAGGTGAAACGCCCGGCCCGCCGTTCCGACTGGCCCATGGGTGCGACAGAGAGGAAAGCTTCAAAAGGAAAGGAATGGAAGAGGACGGGGAGGAAAAAGAGTAGTAGGAGGAGGAGGAGGAGGAGGAGGAGGAGGAGGAGGAGGAGGAGGAGGAGGAGGACTGGTGTAAACCCACAAGCATCAACGATGTTGGAGTAAACCCTCCCTCCGAACTCCCTCTCCATAGGACCTTGCAAGGGTTCATTTCCACTGAGGGAAGTGCCCAATTTGGAGACAACTGTTTGACAATCGGGAAGCGTGCCAAAGCACAGTCCTCGAGACTTCAACGCCACGAATCAATCTGACTGTTGCGCCCTGACGATCCTAAATCGTGACAGAAGACCATGCCTGGGACTCCCACACCACGAAACAACGCAACTGTTGCGCTCTGACAAGTTTCAATTGTTCCAGAAAGCCTTTTCTGGTACGGTGGCCAGGGGAAACCGTGAAACTCTTGCAACGTTTGAAGACGAATGTGCGCGGCGCTAAGGCGAAAACCACATTTTGATAAGAAACCGCCCTCCATATGCGAAACCTGTTCGTTTCTGTAAGGCGAGTATGCGCGGCGCTACGGCGAGACCCACTATTTGAAAACGAGCCGCCCTCAAACCGTGAAGTGCTTACATGTTTCACCACGAGTATGCGAGGCGCCAAGGCGAGAACCACATTTCGAAACTGACCCGCCCTCAATCCGTGAAGCTCTGGCAAATGTTTAAACTGAATGTGCGCGGCGCCAGGCGAAAACCGCAGATTGAGAACGACCCGCTCTCACTTCGAGAGCCACTTTTTGGAAGCGACCCGCCCTCCTTCTGAGGAGCTGTTGACAGTTTTTTAGTCTTTCAGGATCATGCGCGTGGTAAGGAAGTCTCCGGCGAAACGCCCAGCCGGTCCTTCCGATTGTCCTTGGGGTGCGACAGGACGGAGTTATTCAGAAGGAATAAGAATGGAGGGGGACGAGGAGGAGAAGGAGGAGGAGGAGATTGACGATGAGGTGGGGGCTTCGCCTCTTGTGTTTGCACATGGACGGAACTCGTTCGCGTGCAGAAATATATGATTGCCCCGCTGCTGCTGCTGCTCCTTCTCCTGCTGCAGGCCACTGCTCCCCCTCCTTCTCTTATTCACCCTTTTCCACTCCTCCCTGTCCGCCTCCCGCATCCCTCCCTTCCAGGCCCTTCATTCCATTCTTCTGCGCACGTGGACGCCACGTGCTCGCGCGAACCCCCCAGAGCCCCCCCCAGCGACCCCGATCGCCCCGAAGCTCTGAGAAGCCCCCCCCCCCCGAACCTCATCAGAAGCCTCCTTCGCCTCCCCCACCACCTCCTCCTCCTCCTCCTTCTCCTCCTCCTTCTCCTCCCCCCTTCTCCCTCTTTTCCGCGCTTCGCCCACGCACAGCGCCCACCCCGCCGACACAAGGTGGGTGGGTGGTGGTGGATGTAGGGGTGGTGGTGGTGGTGGTGGTGGTGGTGTGCGGTGCGGTGCGCGTGGTGCGGGTGAGTGGGTGGGTGGTGGGTTGTGGCGTGTGGTGTGCGGTAATTGTGAGGTTTCTGGTGGTGTTGCGAGTCCTACCCCCTCAACTCCTCACTATCCTCTCCTCCTCCCTCCTCCTCTGCCTCCTCCTCCTCCTCCTCCTCCTCCTACTCCTCCTCCGTCCTCCCCCTGCTACTGCTGCTCCCAGTCCCGCTCCTGCGCCCTGGCTCCAGCGCCGCGAGGCCTAGCTTGAGCTGCACGCCACGGAATGGCTGTTGTGCAAGGCTCGGCCGCAGGAGGAGGAGGAGGAGGAGGAGGAGGAGGAGGAGGAGGAGGAGGAGGAGGAGGAGGAGGAGGAGGTGCGAAGGCGGAGGAGGAGTAACGGGCTAATGGGAGGACTTGGAGCCGGAGGGGACCGCTCCCCTCCTCCGCCCCTCCCTCGCTCCTCCCTCGCCCCCTCCTCCCGCCGCGGAGGTCCACCTGCTGAGGGAGCCCGTGCGGCGCAGCATCGGCGACAGATCCCCCGAGGGCGCGCTCTGGAGAGCTCTGCTCCAGGACTTGCCGCCGCCGCCGGCGGCGGCGGCGACGGCATCGTCGTCATCGTCGTCGTCGTTGTCGTCGTCGACGTCGTCGTCGTCGTCTTCGGAGGCGGCGGCGGCGGCGTTCTCCTCCCCTCTCCCCCGAAGATGGCCGCGGGGTGGCCCGCCCCCCGCCGCGTATTTCATGCTTTGGTCTTGCAGTGTTTTGTTGCCGTCGGAATGTTAGCTCAAGAGGTGTTCCCGCTGCAGCATTTGCTTCATTTCTCGGCGGCGAGCGGGAGGGGGGAAGTGAGAAGGGGCGGGCCGTCTCAGAAGGCTCGGAAGTCCCCCGGCCTTATGAGGAGTTTTTAAGCCTTCCCGGAAGACACAAACACCTTCCCAGAAGGCGCGAGGCTCCTGAGAAGTCCCGTCGCCTTCTGAGATGGCCTTCTCCTTCTCGCTTCCCCCTGTGAATGCGTGCCATATTTTCACCGACAGGTTTAGCTAGTGGACGTATATCCTTGATTTGCGGTAGTGTGTGTACTATCGTTTGTACTGCTGCATACGCAGGACAGTGTGAGTGCACCGTGGTTCGCACGTTTGGCTCAAGCCTAAAAACCTTTGACTGCCGCTGCTGCTGCCACAGTTGGTAGCGGAGCGGTGGAAGCCTCGGGACCAGGGGTTCCCTGACTGCGCGCCGGCATGGCGAGCAGCACGGGAGCTCGGCGGCTCTGAGGCGACCTCCGCGCCGAGCAGGCCGACTGGCGTGGTTCCACGGCATGACAAGGGACGAGGACAAGAGCGGTGAGGGGTTCGCCGGGGCGGTGATCACTGGGCCAGAGGGACAGCCGAGTGCAGCCACCGCGGGTTTGACGACCGAGCAGCTGAAGGAGATGATCGCCGGAGTAGTCAGGGAGACTATGCAGTCGGCGACCGCTTCGAGGGCAGCCGCGTCAAGCCAACCAGGGGAAGGAACTTGGGATCCTTGGTCAGCAGCAGCGGGCAACATCAAGAAGGATCCCAACGACAAGAACGAGAAGGACGGCAACACGAAGGACAACGAGCTCGACCAGGATCAGGTCAACACGGACCGGTGGAGACAGCACCACTGGGCCAGCGACAGCTGGAGCCGCGATGACAGCTGGGGCTGGCACAACTCCTGGGGCTCATCAGGCAGAGGAGACTTCTCCGACCCGCCAGCGTGGCCAGGCTGGAGTCACTACCGGCAGTGGCGCAAAGCTCTGACGCGCTGGGACACAAACACAGACGTACAAGTGTGGCGCAGAGCAGAGAAGCTCCTCAAGCTATTCGATTGGGGAATGCAAGCCAAGTTCGAGGGTATCCCAGAGGCAACCCTCAGCAGCAACAAGTGGCTTGAGACGGTGCTTGGTCGCATGGACATGATGATTGGAGAACGAGAAGGAGACCATCTCCGTCGCACAGGACGCAAAGCACTGTTCGAAACTAGTCGTGATCCAAAAGAAACTCTCATCCAGTTCGTCAGTCGAAGGGAGGCTCAATTTCAAGAAGCCGAGGGTCACGACATGTGGTTATCATCCAAGCTGAAGGGACTATTACTCGAGGAGGGGGCTGGGCTCACGCCTCAAGGCCTCCAAAACTTGCGCACTCTCACGCGGGGACAGCTCGACTATGAGAGTGTTTCGTGGGCGCTGAGGCAGATGGACTCCACTGGCACTGAGCGCCTGTTGCCTGGCCGAGTTTCTCTCGGCACAATGCACGTTGCCGGCAGCGCTGAGGACGAAGAGCCCAGTGCCGACGGCATGCATAAGCATCAGCCCTACTCCTCCACTCCCTCCGGTGGTTTCAACGGTGCTGCCGACGAGGACTTGGAGGATCTCGATGAAGAGACTGACGACGAGGAAGAATAATATGATCAGATGGATGAGGCAGCTATCATGGCAGAACTGGAGGACCTCGACCTCTACGAGGATCAGGTCGACGAGGCGCTAGCAGCTATCGCCACGCGCCCAGTCAACAGGACCTGGAAGCAGAACAAAGACATCAAGCGTGCAGCAAAGAAGGACCGTGAATACTTTGGAGGTCGTGCTCGAGCATCCGAGGCCAACATCCCGCCACCACCTCGGCTCTCACCTCAGGCCCGTCGAGACGATCGCGGGCGAGGACGTGGGGGCCAGGGCAGAGGGCGTGACCGGGACCAGAGGCCAAGCAGGTTTCCCAAGCTGACCCTGGAGCAGCGCATGAAGGCTACCAAGTGCAAGCTTTGCCACCAGAAGGGCCACTGGGCTCGAGAATGTCCTGCCAACAACGGCGGCAGCAGGACAGACAGGCAGAAGCTCTCGGCCTACACCTTCACCGGAGGAGTGTTTCTCGAGGGCAAGTCGGTCACCCAGGAGGCGATCGAGGACTGGGGGGAGATCGAGGAAGAGCTCAACCAGGACGACGCCTTCATTGTCACGCGTCCGGTGCAGGGCCTGGTCGACCCCGGGGCGGGCAGCGACCTGGCGGGGGTGAATGCTCTCAACCGGGAAGCTCGTGCCCTAGCAGAGGTCGGGCTCATGTACGTGGAGGTGCCAGCCGACCTCCGTCGACCACGTGCCGCTCACGGAGTCGGGGGGGCTGCAAGGGTAGTGAGCGCTGTTCTGTTTCCCATCTGTGTGGCAGGAGTGCTTGGGATCGTCGAGGCAACAGTGCTCGCCGAAGAAGTTCCACATATTCTCAGCGTGAATCTTCTGGATTTCTTGGGCTGCGTGATAGATTTGCCGAGCAATGTCATGCAGTCGTCTCGGTTGGGCGCAGAGATCCCGATGGCGAAGCTGGGGTCCGGCCACAGGATGGTAGATAGCACCCAGAAGTTGTCAGATTCAGTCGTGCCCCAGTCTGCCCTCGAGAGTTTTCCGTATCTGACTCCAGATGCTTTTCAATGCAAGAAGGGACCTGTGCAAGTGATGTCTGTCAAGGGGCAGATCAAGAGTTACATGGTCACTTCCCTCATCCTAGCTCTTATCACGATCAGCATCATCCAGGCCCTAAGCGGCCACAACAACACCATCAAGGGTAAGAACAGGTCCGTGAGGGCCATGCACAAGCGGATCAACGGCAACGGGCATCTCGGGAAGATCAGGCAGGGCGTCGTCATAGGGGCCCTGATCGGCCTCATCGTGAAGTACGAGTCTGGGGCTCAGCAGGCCTCGATCGCTAGATCGCATCAGTCAACTAAGGACATCGTCAGGCTCCACAAGAGACCAAGGACCAACCGGGGGGCTAGGAGCAGTCAGCAGAACCAATACAACAACAGCAGCATAGTCTTGGGGCTGGTAGCATCCGTAGCCACTCTTGGCTCGAGCCTTTTCAACTCTCAGCGATCTCCGAGACGTGCCGCGCACCGAGTGGCAAGACAATTCGCATTCAGCAACAATCGAGACGATGAACCAAGTTGTTGCTGCAGTGATGCTGGCTGTTGTTATGGCAGCAGAGGCGGGTCCCAAGAAGAAGCCAGTGGCTCAGGAGCTGAACGAGGAGAGGCTCAGACAGCTACGTGGAGCAGCTCAGACCGAGGCTGGGCCCGGTGGCGGGGGCGCTCCCGACACGTCCGCAGACGAGAGCGCAGTTGGAGCCGCTATCCAGGCGGGACTACTACCCACCATGCACGAGGCGATGGCAGCTACGATGCCGGGGGCGGCCACTGCCCAGGCGGCCGCGGCAGCAGCGACGACTCTTCCGACCGTGCCCGGTCCGCCCATGTCATTTGGACCAGGCGGGGCCGCAGCGGCAGCGGCCGCTCACACAGCTGCCCCCGGTCAGCCCGGGGCTTTCAGTCCCTACGGTTGGGCGCCCGTCAAGCCAGCACCGAAGCCAGCAGTAAAGCCTCCTCCGAAGCCATTTCCATATCCACAGACGACGGGCTGTCCTGGTGCTTCCGAGTCGGAGGAGGATCCAACGATTCAAGTACCAGACGGACCGTGCAGCTGTCCTCAGGGCCCAACTCTGAAGTACTACGGAAACCAGTACGGATGGGGATCCAAGTGTCGGAGGTGCAACCGCCGCCTTCAGTGGATCCCGC